CAGGTCAATCAAAAAAGCTTCACTGACTGGCGTTGAGTGTGTGCGTTCAACAGTGGCCTCGGCGACTCTCGAGGGTCGAGCCGAATCCGAAAGGGTTGGTATGTCGAGCGGCGTTCTGTCGCTGTTGTGTTGCTCCTTAATTCCTCGAGTAATTTCCGCAAACGAGACTATCATTTACTACTCTTCGTGAAGTTTCACGTTCTTTAAATGAGAGATTATTTATCTTATTTGCCTTGAAGTTGTTCTGCGTCAACTTCAAGTAAGGGCAACCTCTATAGTTTGCCGTATGTTTGTCCGACTCGCAGTTTATACATTTCATTTTATCACCTTCGGTCGTCTTCACTCTGCACTTAGCAGGCTCGTGGTCAGTGCATCCTTTGACACATCGATACCCGAGCTCGCATCCGGCACTGGAATGGCCGACTCTCTAGCATTTGAAGCACTGGTAAACTTGATTTTTTCTAAAGGTCTCCCATCTGATCCGCTGCACCAGCAGTGACTTCACATTAGTAAGCTCTCTTGTCTGGCTATCAGCAGAAAGATGAACTAGATAAACTCCGTTTATCGCCGTCGCATTCATTCGGAGGGCACTCACTTTGTTGATTGTGATTCCGTGTATATTTAGTTCTTTAATTTCTTTCATCAGTTTCGTATTCTTTGTTGATACCTTTGAGAACCAATAATTTGCCTTTTTCGTGTTTGGGAGTATGAGTAAAGAAGCTGATTTGTTTAGCAGTGAGAACTTTTTCAATTGCATAGAAGCTTTCAATGTCACGAGCAGAAATGGTGTGTTGGCCGGGCGCCGCCGTTCTGATATGCAAGCTTTTTCTGTCCACCGACGATGACAGTTTAAAAATAAGCTTTTTTGCAGCTGTTAGCTTACAATAAATTGGAGGCACATGAGGTTTCTGAGGTTTGATCTGTTAGCTCGATCATGATTGTCCGACTGGCCATTATGGGAGATATTATCTGCGTTACTTAGCTGGTCAAATCTATTTTTTGTTCGTAACGTAAATGTTTTTGTTTTCGTTTTGGTTGAATTATTTCTAGCCTGGCCCACAGTTGTCCAATTATTCGGATGTTTTGATTTTACACTCGGTATTGTAACGCTTGTGTTGTCAAATGAATTGTTTTCCTCTGTGACTGGCCGTCTAGTGTGAATGGCACTCAGATTTGGCGCAATATTGTTTTTATTTAATAATTTTGTTACAGTTTACCCTCGGGAGGCAGATAAATTTTTCGGTGAGACGTCCGTTGACCTGTAAACGGGGAACAAAGAAAAGGTGTGCCAAAAATGATCTACGCGATCATATAGTGTACTAGCGACCCCGTCGTGGCTTCGCCCACGTTCAATTTTTACGAAAAATGTGAAGACGTAATATTTTTAGCTTTGTCTATTGGGATGTATATGAAGAAATTCGACTGTTTGAAAGCTCTTAAGGACGTTCCCTCAGACCTAACTGACAAATTTGGGCATATTTCTAAAAAAAATCTGAAAAAATTCATACGCTTTCCTTGACAAATTCTAAGACTTTTTTGTTCTTTTAAAATTTTTCGTAGAGTTCATGATTATTGAGATAAAAAATCGCAAAGATTCATTGCTTAAAATTGTTTAAATTTGAATCGTTTATAGCTCGTTAAAAATCAATTTTAGAGAAAATTTGCAAGAGCACTTTTTTGTTTAAAATGACCCTAAAAACCTTAAAAAGTGGGTTTCAGGTAAAAAAGTTTAAATTTTTATTTTTGCAATGTTTTTACATTAACTTTTCTCAAAAACTATTTGGTCAAGTTTTTCCAGGTTTTGAGCCATGTTTTAGTACATACTGAACAATCATCTCCTAGTTTTTGAAAAGATTTTATCGATGCGTTTTTTTATAATCACGCAAAATAGCGTCTTTTCGACACGCTAGCATAGGGATCCCATGTTAAAGTACCGAACTTTGATTAATTATATTTCGGAAATGGTTTGGTTAAAGTTCCTGAAATTTCTCACACATATGAAAAGTATTGTCAATAATATGTGGTTAAAATTTCAAGACCCTTTATCGATAGTCATTTTTTTGAGGGAACTACCTTAAACAGGCCACGTCAAGAGCAAAGCAGAAAATGTCTCAGTTGAGTCCACACACTTGTAAAATGTGAATAGCGTAATAACACATGTGCATATCAAATACAATGTATGCCGATTGACCGCATGTAAGAAAAAACAACTGCTTTCGGTCTTTTTTATAACAATTGACCGCGCGAGGGGCGAGCACGCGCGCGAAGTGGTGGAAAACGAAAAAAATTCTGAACTCAAAAATAAAAAAGTAAATAATGGTTTTAATATGATAGAAACCCGCGCAGTGGTATATTAAATGCATAATAAAAATTTCAAGCTGATTGGACAAATAGTTTTTGACATCATAAAAGACAAACAGACACCAACTTCGCTTTATACACTCGGCAACAAAATTATCGCAACAAAAAAATTCATCGAAATTTCGTCGATTTTCAAATGCTTCTATCTTGGGCTAGATTTATCGTATCGACACGTTTTTTTTTTAATTTCTTGGAAATTTTGTCCTCTTTAAATCCATATAAATTAAGATAAGATTCGAGTTAATGTTGAGTTACCAGTAGTATTTGAGCGCGACACTAAAAATTACTGAAAAAAAATGACTGTTTGAACGTGTACCAGTACTACAGTAATTTTTCTATGACAATCTAACATACACCATCGCAAAGTGCTCTTTTCAACGAGTAATTTAAAAAAAAGGACCTCTCTACGATTTTTTAAGCGCCCTGTAGGTAGCTTTGAAGATACCATTTAAAGTACGTAAAATCCCCCGTTTAGCTGAAATCAAGACGATTTTCTGGGCTTTTTGCGTACACAAACCGTACCTTCAAATCGACCTACAGGGCGTTAAAAAAATCGTAGAAAGGTCCTTTTTTTTTAAATTACTCGTTGAAAAGAGCACTTTGCGATGGTGTATGTGAGATTTTGATAAAGAAATTACTGTGTTACTGGTACACGTTCAAACAGTCATTTTTTTTCAGTAATTTTTAGTGTCGCGCTCAAATACTACCGGTAACTCAACATTAACTCGAATCTTATCTTAATTTATATGGATTTAAAGAGGACAAAATTTCCAAGAAATTAAAAAAAAAAGCGTGTCGATACGATAAATCTAGCCCAAGATAGAAGCATTTGAAAATCGACGAAATTTCGATGAATTTTTTTGTTGCGATAATTTTGTTGCCGACGTATATGAGCGTGTCCAGCATAAGTCGGCCACCCCGCGTGATTACGGCATTTTTGGCCGAAAGTGTCGTATGTTTAGCTTACTCGGAAACGTTTACTAAGAGTCAAAAAAAAAATCCAAACCCATGGATCGATAGATTTTTTCCTCTTCTTTCTAGTGGCGTGACTCAAAAAATTCTTAAAAATTGATTTTGAGGTTAAAACTCGACTTGAATGTTTAAGTCAATTTATCCAAAAAATGTATCCTCAAATAATAATAAATACAAGAAAGCTAAGGATCACAAATGAGGTGCGATAATTGTTCGCTCGGCACGAAACATTCACCCGTACAATTCGTTAACGGCATCAGGCCACCGCGGCTATTTCGGTAGATACGACGGTCGTAAGTTTGGGCTAGGCGGGGACGAGATCGAGCGAGATCGAGCGTGTTTGAGAATACAATAATATAGCGCATATGCAGGAGAGAATCGAGCGACTTACATTCGTTGACTACACGGTTTAGTGGTGGTTGATCGGGCCAGACGAAGACTGTAAAAATAGCGAGGGCAGACGAGAAGGCAGCCAGATGTTGATGCTCTCCAGGATGGCAGACTCACTTCCACACACGCTGGCCATCGCAGGTCACACAGGAGAGGGCTAGGTAGCTCGGGGCTACCTCACGCGAGGTCCAACACAGATTGTTCGCTTCATCAACCCCTTGTCGGCTCGTCAGTCAGCATAGGCCTCCCTTCCACTTGACAGGTTTTCGTCTGCTCATAGGGCAGCACGCGCAAGACCCGTCTGCGCACGTAGCGTTGATCACGGCTCTCTCTTTGCAAATTCGGCGCTTATCGAAAATTGGCGCCAATCCGCATTACCATCAGGCTCGCTTATTTCAGATCTCTCTCTCGGGCGGAAGGAATTTTAGGATATAATACCAAGGAAGGAGTACCGCCGGACCCTGTGCTGGACTACTTCCTTACAATTTTTTACGCAAAGCGTTGAATTCCCGGTCATTTGAGATGGTGAGAGGCACGTTGATGCTACTATTGCGTCTTTTGATTCCAATACAATCAATTTAAGAGCTCTGTTCGAGCTCGAGTTCATAGGCAAGACGGATCATTTGTCTCTTGGCGTTCTTGTCTTCCTGAACGGAAATGTTGGAGTCTATGGCACTCACGTGTTGGATATAAAGTTGTCACTCAAGTAGGGGTGTGATTCTCCCTGATGCTGGATAAGGAGTGACAGCTTGGGGCCGCTCAGATTTAAAGAACAACACTTAAAATTTAAGATTAATAAACACTGCGTAGTACAACCACTCGCCTTGACAGTTCAAAGCAGACCCCGCCTGATGCCTTTACCTACTGAGCCATCGAGGCGTTTATGTTTTTTTTTTTTTTTTGGACGTGGGCAAAGTGAACTCTGCAGCCAGTGGCCCTTTGCAGCGAGTACTCCACCAGAATCGCCGTTAGAAATTACTTCGGTGGGGGACTCTGTAGAGCTTCTCTGCTACATCGGTATCTTTTCCGTACATCCCCCGTCCACATTGCGGTGATTAGGGGTTCGGGAATTAGAAGCGTCGTCTGCTTCTTGCAGCATCGTCCGGATCGTTATTTTACACCTCTTGCGCCTCTTGCCTCAGTCTGGAGACGACTGATTGCGCGAAAGATGATACCACCATCCAATTGTCTGCGGTCTCGAGCATGAGCCTGACGATGTTTTCCAGCTCGATTACTTTTTGGAGGACTTATTGAAGTCCCTCCCTCTCTTCATGGAATTACGGGCAGCGAAAGAACGCATGCTCCGCGTCTTCTATTGTGGTTGGGCAGGCCGGACAGAGTGTGCTGATGGTGTTATCATAGCGCTGGCTAAGGCTTTTGAAGTAGCTATGTCTGGATAGGAGTTGTGTTAGATAGTAGTCCACTTCTCCATGTCCCCTCTCGACCCATTCTGTGATGTTCGGAATTAGCCAGTATGTCCATCGGCCCTTTAAGTACCGGTCCCACCGGGCCTGCCACTTGCTTAATGTCTCTCTCCTCTCTTCCTCCTTGACGTCCTCGGGGCGGCGCTGGTTAATGCACCCACCTTCATCCGCTAGTAGAGTCAGCGGTGGTATGCTGGCTATCATATACTTCGCGTCGTAGGAAACGTGTGGTCGCCTGTTGATATGAGCAGGCAGGCTCGTCGATGTACAGACTCTGCGTGACGGATGTAGGCCTTTGTCTACGTTGCACAACTCCGGCTCTATACAGGAGGATAGATTCGAAGACGTAGGCATAGAGCTCTCGTCGGCTATTTCTGGGCCCAACGGTGTTGGTCATGATTTTCGCGAGGGCTCCAACCACTCTTGCTGCCTTTTCGCTGACGATTCAGAGATGTTGGTCAAACCTCAGCCTGGCGTCAGATTTACGATATATGCAACCGTTTTAAAAATACATTCGATTAAACAAAAAAAAACGTGGTTTTTGAACATTTGTCTTCAAAATGATCGTATTTTTCACAACGATTACGCATTCGAGTCGGGTTAAAACTCTGGATCTGGTGTAATACAGGCCTATACTAAAAGTTGGTAGCATTGGTTCATCCAGATTCAAGATGGCTGCCACCAAAACAGCTGATTCAACTATTATCGCCTAAAAGACGATACGGTACATGGTATAATGCTTTGAGATAATTTTACTCGCTAACAATGGACTCTACGAAAAAATTATGGAACAAAATTGTAGAAAAAATTATAAAACAAAAAGTATTTAGAATTGATCTAAGAATACGCGTGAATTTTTTCAGATTTTTATAGATGATTTTGGATATTTTTATAAAATGGCCATATCCAAAAATACCCAAAATCATCTAAAAAAAATCTGAAAAAATTCACTTGTATTCTTCGATCAATTCGAAGTACTTTTTGTTTCATAACATTTTTTGTAGAGTCCATTGTTAGGGAGTAAAAAAATCTCAAAGCAATATACCATGTGCCGTATCGTCTTTTAGCCGATAATTGTTGAATCAGCTGCTTTGGTGGCAAAAAGTACTTTTTGAAGCAAAAAATGGATTCAAATACGTCTCAAACAAGTTAAAACTCCCCATGCAGAATTTTTGAGAAATCTTTGAAAAAACAGCGAAAAACTACGTTTTCAACATTATTTCGTAGCTAGACACCTCCAAAAAATTTTTATTGGTCTAAAATTTTGGGAAAAGTCTTTTTCCAAAATAATAGGAGAATGAACCTTATACAAAAGGGCTTTACTCAAACTTTAATACCTGGATAAACTAACTGAACTGTCAACATAACTAGGTATTCTGCTGTTGAAAAGGCATCAAATTTTAAAATTGAAAAATTAAAAACTTCATGAATTCACCTTCAATTTATGTTCTAACTTTTTATTACAGATAGCTTCGGCTCATCATTAAAAAATTCCGATTAGTTGAAAGAGTGGTGCTGCAGAATGTATCAATTCTTTGTCTATTGAGTATTAATTGTAAGCTGTAAGTTATAAAGGACGATAAACGACGATTTCATGAAATTCCTTAAAGATAATAATGTTAAACATTCCTTTTCGCCCCCGTATTTTCCGGCCACAAACGGGGCAGCAGAAAATTTTATTCAAATCTTTAAAAATAAGGTCAAAAAATTTTTGAAAGAGGTAGGAAAAGTAGAAACGGTGGTAAACATGTTTTTATTTGATTAAAGGAATATTCCACATATTACCACGGGTCGAAGCCCAGCAAACATCATGTACAACTGCGAAGTGCGAACACGACTTAGCTGTTTAAAACCGTGTGTACATGATCAGGTGAAAAATCAACAACGGCGTCAAATCCTGGCAAGATCCGGGAACAGAAAAGTCAACATAAACGTGGGTGACAAGGTATTTATGAACGCCCATGGAGTGCGGACAGAAAAGCGTGTTCTAGGTCGAATTGTAAGGCAAACCGCGCTGTCTACTTTTGTTGTGAAATCGAACGAGGGAAAGTTGTGATGTATTCATCACCTGGTTTGATGTAAACTTGCGCTTGGTAAGGTAGGCGTCGTTACCGACTGTACGCCGTCGCTAATAACCGGTAGCTCACCGAGCTGATCTGATCAGTTACGCTCCGAGCTCCGAGCGCACACAAGCTAAGATTCTCTCTCACTAATTATACTTACTATTTATATTATATACAAGTGTCTATTTATTTCCTCCTTCACCCAATACATAACAATAATAAAAAAAAATTCGGAGATGAAATGTCGAAGACGAATAGTCCCGGATGAGTTGTCACAGGATGAAAATGTTAAGGATGACTAGTCCGGCTTCCATTTAGATGGTTAGATCGTCGCATAAATATTTTATAAACTTTGTATTAACTGCTCCAAAACATCTTTAAAAATTCTCAAAACTTCTTCATGTGTTGATATTTAATATGGTATAGTTTGAAATAAGATCACTCGATTGTACAGTGGTAAGATGAGATATGCGGTCGCAATTATTTTGATAACTTGCAGGTTCGTGATAAACTCTAGACAGCTGTTCACGCTCAGTCAGTCCGATAAGCGAATTCTCTGTAAGGTAATAGAAAATTGAGCATCGTTTATGAACTTGACGCATAACCCGGTACGCGTTAGCTGCTGAGTGATGTTAAATAAGGTGGATTAGGTTATTTATACTCATTGATCACGCTAAAGTACAAAGCTAAACAGTAAAGAATAAGTTACATTTATTGGCTGACGAATTAAGATGATTTATTGTATTCTTCAATCTGTAAATATGGGTTAGAATAATACTTTCTTAAATTTACGTATGTCACTAATCTTGACGCGATTGTGGTATGTGATGGAACATAGAACAAGAGTTTTAAAGACAAAATTTTAGACTTCCCCCGTCGCTCCTACCCCCCAACCCCCTTTATTATGTTTTATTTTTATTATAGGCATAATTGCATAATGGCGCAAACTCTGGCTCTAATTTGTTTGTTTATCTGAATTTTGACAGTGAGCCTATAGAGCTAGAGAGTCGTACTTATTTACATGTGTTCAGAATATGGAAAAATACAAGTCTATGTGTTTTCAAGGGGCTTAGACTTGGTTTTATAAGTATATTGAGTCACCAAGTGATAATAAAGGGGGTTTTTACATATAATTAATATTTACATATTGCATGTAGGTTGTACTTCTTCCAGGGGCCTATGAGATAAAACTAAATCGACTGTGCATGTTTTTAGGTGTACAAAGTACCCTCAGTAAGTTTGGGCAAGAACAATGACCCGGAGCTGGGGTGGTTTCCTTGTTAGTATAAGTATTATTTTTACGGAAATTTAGATTTTCATTTTGTAATTTAGATTAGTTGTTATAATTTTTTATACCGTAAACTTCCTTACATAAAATTATTTTATTCTCACTGCTACAATTTTCAACTTTTATGTTTCAGGTACGTTTCTATTTCGAAATATTTCATTGCATTTTGTGCTTATAAACGAGATGGTTATCGTGCAGCTCAAAGTAGATGCGTTTACTACGCTGATTGGTGAGAAAAATGTAATAAAAAATTGATTAAATAATTATATAATATTACAGACCACTGTTCAAAGTTAAAATAAAAATGAATAAATTATTTCCCAGGCTGTGTAATCAAATAATTTATCAGCAGCTGATACATGAATTGTTTTTATTTACAACGGTTAAGGCATATATTAGGTTTTGATTCGATATCATTGTTAAACTTTGAGATTACGTGTACGACATTGCGTAATTGATATCGTTTATCCGATTTTAACTATCATCTGAAGCGTGAATATTGGCAGCATTTTAGTTTGAAACGATGGGCATGAGAGATATTATTTACATGTAGGTTATGTTCAAGGTCAAATTCAAGGTCACCAATCGATTCCCCGTCATAAAATACATAAAATACATGGGTTTGTAAATTTTTTCAAATTTTTTCATCATTTTTATAGTTGAGAATCAAATTTTTAAGTTTTTCCCATTTAAAATACATGTACGCTTCAAGCCGCTTGGGGGCCACCTTAAAATCATTTTTTCGAACTCCATAACCCGGTTTTCTCATTGTCTAATCAAATAAAAGACATCTAGGTGGGGGGAGAAGCAATACCAAAAAGTCGGGAAATAACGGACACCCTAATATATATGGGTCAGATTCAGAATTTTTCAAATAAACCTGCGGGCGAGGTTCACCGATATTCCTGAAATTTTGGTATGTTATAGTACATGATAAAAAAGTGCCAAAACCAAAATGTTGGACCCCCTCCCCCCTCCTACCCCCTTCCTCCCCTGTAGACGTCCATTTTCTATCTATATTTTTTCTGAAGGCCTGAAGCAATTAAAAAATCTGAAAAAATTCATGAAGGTACTTTTCAACAATCCGAACAATCTTGAATTTTTCAGATTTTTCGAGTGCTTCAGGCCTTCAGAAAAAATCATTGAAAATTTAAATTATTTTATTTTCGGTGAAATGATTCGATATACCAGACCGGAGTATTTTTTTCTTAATTCTGACATCAAAAAACGATTCTTTGAATTTTTTCAGAATTTTTCATTCATGTCCATAAAGCCTAGAGCTGAAAAACCGTTTTTTTCACGAAAATAATTTTTTTAAGGCGATACGGAGTCTCAAAAAAACTGAAAAAAAATTTTTTTCTCATTTTGTTCATCAAAATACATGATCTCAAATTTTTTCAGATTTTTTAATTGAAGGCGATAGCGTCTATAGCCGAAAAACGTTATTTTTAACCCAAAAGGTTCCGGTAAAAAAAGTTGAAATTTGTTTTTTTGAATTCCTTGTCAAATTTTAATACATTTTGACCGTTTCAAAAGATCGATTGAAGCTTCCTAGCTCATTCTAAAATATAACAAAGATTAATGCGAAATTCTGAAGACATCTGAAAAAAATGTAAATATGATGAATGTCTTCAGAATTTCGCATTAATCTTTGTTATGTTCTAGAATGAGCTAGGAAGCTTCAATCGATCTTTTGAAACGGTCAAAATGTATTAAAATTTGACAAGGAATTTAAAAAAACAAATTTCAACTTTTTTTACCGGAACCTTTTTGGTTAAAAATAACGTTTTTCGGTTATAGACGCTATCGCCTTTAATTAAAAAATCTGAAAAAATTTGGGATCATGTATTTTGATGAACAAAATGAGAAAAAATTTTTTTTTCAGTTTTTTTGAGACTCCGTATCGCCTTAAAAAAATTATTTTCCGTGAAAAAAAAGGGTTTTCAGCTCTAGGCTTTATGGACATGAATGAAAAATTCTGAAAAAATTCAAAGAATCGTTTT